TAGTTAGTATTCTGTGTAAAACTGTGTTGTTAAACATATGAGTGCAGTTTAAAAAAATAAGGTGGATCCCTAAATAAAATCAGGATTCTAAAAGGAGGGAGTAAGATGTGGGTATATGTGTGTAAGTTGGTTTGGGTGCTAGCAAGGCAACCAGCAAAGTTGGACAGAAGGTTGATTTGGTACCTTTTCAAATAGGACTGGTCATTCCTTGTAGTTTCTTATTGCTTACAAATATTTTTAAGCTTGCCTTTTATTCAAGTAAAATAAGAATTTTGGCCAATAACTGCAACATTTTGAGTCTTTTTTCAAAGGAAGGACTGAAGTTCCTTCTGTTATTCAGGCTCTCCTTCATGGCTCCATCCTTCCTTGTGTGCCTCTGGTTTTCGTTAGAAACTTACTTGAGGGAGTTATTTATTTATTTATTTATTTTGAAGTCTAGGAGGAAGGAGAACGCCTCCAAAAAGTATGTTCATTTCCTTCTGCCAGTGCCCTGGGAAATTACCAGTCTAATACTAAATTGAATTCATAGTTTAATGGAAATTTGGAAGTTTTTTACTTTTAAGTAAAGCATTCTAAAGCACAGAAGCTCCTCATCAAAGCTTGCTCAGGACTAAGAGTACTACTAATTGGAATGAACATCTTTGTGTATATTAAACTGGTAAGCATAAGGCAGGTTCAGAGGGCTTCCCTGGTGGCTCACTAAGTAAAGAATCTGCCTGCAATGCAGGATACCCAGGTTTGATCCTTGGGTCGGGAAGATCCCCTGGAGAAGAGAATGTCTCTCCACTCCAGTATTCTTGCCGGGAGAATTCCATGGACAGAGAAGCCTTGTGGGCTATGATCCATGGGGTCACAAAGGTTGCAAAGAGTCAAGATAACAGAGCGACTAACACTTTCACTTTCAAGGTAGGATTTGAGTCTATGGAGTGGCATGAGTCTAGGAGCTAAAATTATCAGGAAAGGTGCAAAGTGACCTGGAGGTCTGAACATATTCAATATATTCAATATATTTCAATATTTCAATTGAACTATATTCAATATTTGTAATAACCTATGATGGCAAATAGATGGGGAAAGTGGAAACAGTGGCTGACTTTATTTTTGGGGGCTCCAAAATCACTGCAGATGGTGATTGCAGCCATGAAATTAAAAGACGCTTACACCTCGGAAGGAAAGTTATGACCAACCTAGACTGCATATTAAAAAGCAGAGNCGCTTACACCTCGGAAGGAAAGTTATGACCAACCTAGACTGCATATTAAAAAGCAGAGACATTACTTTGTCAACAAAGGTCCATATAGTCAAGGCTATGGTTTTTCCAGTGGTCATGTATGGGTGTGAGAGTTGGACTATAGAGAAAGCTGAGCGCCAAAGAATTGATGCTTTTGAACTGTGGTGTTGGAGAAGACTCTTGAGAGTCCCTTGGACTTCAAGGAGATCCAACCAATTCATCCTAAAGGAAATCAGTCCTGGTGTTCATTGGAAGGACTGATGCTGAAGCTGAAACTCCAATATTTTGGCCACCTGATGCAAAGAGCTGGCTCATTTGAAAAGACCCTGATGTTGGGAAAGATTGAAGGCAGGAGGAGAAGGGGATGAGATGGTTAGATGGCATCACTGACTCCACGGAGATGAGTCTGGGTAAACTCCGGGAGTTGGTGATGGACAGGGAGGCCTGGTGTGCTGCGGTTCATGGGGTCAAAAGAGTTGGACACAACTGAGCAACTAAACTGAACTGATGATGGAAAAGAATATGAAATATATATATATATACACACATATATGTAACTGAACACTTTCTGTACACCTGAAACTTAACACTATATTGTAAATTAACTGTACTTCAATTTTTAAAAGTAATGGCTGAAATAACCTGATAAGGTAAGATTCAAAGCTGCAGGTGTTAGAGAGAAGGGATGAAGAATGTTTTGGAAGCAGCAATAAGGAACAAGAAGGATATCACCTGCTTAATTCCAGACAGTGATACAAGAACTGGAGAACTGCTGCGGTTCATGGGGTTGCAAAGACTCGGACACGACTGATCGACTGAACTGAAAGGCTTAATGAGATTAGGTTCAAAACAGTGTTGGGAAAACTCTGAGTTTTGGGGGTAAGAAGGGTGGGTGTCTATGCCTTGCTTTTGATCCCTGATGAGGAAAGTAAGGAGAACTGGAGAGGTGTGGCCTTGGACCGAGTGCGTGAGGCTCTCTCTAGACTCCAGTTCTGGAAGCTAGAGGATCCTTTGAGCTTGCAGGAGCACCATCATACAAGGCTAGTGCTCCAGGACAGAGACTGTGGAAAACCTCACTCTGGTTACTAACAGGGGAAAGGGAACTATTCTGTGCCCACCATGTGCTAGGCACTGTGCTTCTTGAGTATGTTATCGGTTTTAATCAATATGGCATCTGTGCTGAGTAAGAATTATTTTTATTGAGCCCATTTTGTAGACATGAGGATGGATCTTTGATCTCCTTAGGTGTCTTTAACAGCTTGCTTTGTAGCATCACAAGCACCCACTACACGAAGGAACACAATTCCTGATTTGTAAGTGTGTAGTGACTTCAGAACACTGGAATTTGTGGGGACAAGGAAGGTGTTCACTTTACCTTCCATCAGCGCCTACAGGACACGTGCTTTAAGGAGAGAAACATGTCTTTGGTAATGAAGGCATGAAGATGACAGCTCTGAGTGTCTGATCCAACAGGCCTGGGGCCAAGAGGTGCACTAGGTGAGACCTCAAAATGAGAGTGGCTGCGGAGGGACTAGCCAAGGGGCCTCTGCACACCATCATGTGAGTGCTCCCGAGAGACAAGCTGTGCTCCAGAGAGACAACATGCAAAAACCCTCCTCCAGCACGACCTGGTCTTAAACTGGCCATTTCCTGCAAACATACACTCAGGAATTTTCCTGTAGGAGCTGTTATCTTCAAGTGCATCAAGACATGAAAATTCAGCAGCAAGAAAAATTTATACACTCCTTTAAATATCTTCCATAGACAGCACAGGGGAATGATTTAAGGGAGAGAGAATAACAGCACATTGATCATTTTTAATGTTTGTTTCACAGTTTTCTGAACTTCTGTCACTGGAGACATAACCCATTATACCATAACATTTGGGGGGGGGAGTCCTCAAGAGGGTATCCACTTGAAAACCCAATGAATTACCAGCACATTTTGCAAATGGGAGCTCAAAATTCTGCACATACACACATACATATGTAATACATAAGCAATCTGGGTAAGACATGATTTTTTTTAACTTTTACAATTTTATTTCTAATACTGGATTTATAGGCACCCTCATGAGATATATTTTCCTTCTGAAGGTAACAACAATAATTTTAGCCTATATGTCATGCTAAGTCGCTTCAGTCATGTCTGACTCTGTGCAACCCCATGGACTGTAGCCCACCAGGCTCCTCTGTCCATGGGATTCTCCAGGCAGGAAGAATGGAGTAGATTGCCATCCCCTTCTCCAGGGGATCTTACTGACCCAGGGATCCAACGGGCATCTCTTAGACTAACCTGCGTTGGCAGGCAGGTTCTTTACCACTAGCGCCACCTGGAAAGACCCTTAGCCTATATGAAGTGAAGTGAAGTGAAAGTCGCTTAGTCCTGTCTGACTCTTTGCAACCCCATGGCCTATATAGTCCATGGAATTCTCCAGGCCAGAATACTGGGGTGGGTAGCCTTTCCCTTCTCCAGGGGATATTCCCAACCCAAAGATCGAACCCAGGTCTCCCACATAGTGGGTTGGAGTGGGGGATTCTTTACCAGCTGAACCACAAGGGAAGCCCTTAGCCTATACAATTAACTTAAATAATTTGTTAATGCAGAAGGATCCATGAAATGAAATGAGTATGCTCCCTGATTTTCATGTTGCCTGACCACTTTTCAGGACCACACATGGTTACAAATTGCAAAATCTTTAACCAAAACGAGAGCCAGGAAAGGTTTTCAAGACCAGTGCAGCAGGTGAGGTTCTATGGTACATGGGAATCATATCTTAAATTCTGGAGTACCCAAAATGGAGAGAAAGGCAAGTTACAGGCCAAGGATTGATTGTATTTTCTTCCCTCCACAGTTATGAGGCATTGTGGCACAGACCAAGCGGAAAGCTCACATTATGGCACTGCTGAGGGTGAACAGCCTCACGTGCCCATCACCCTCTCTGGGCCGCAGGCTGCCTTAGGTGCCAGAGACCTTGTTTCCCCTCATGTAGTATTTACATTTATATCCACACATCCATCCATTCAATCATCCAGGCACATTTACATGAATAGAACATACTGGCAGATAGACTGTGTGTGTGTGTGTGTGTGTGTGTGTGTGTG